AGATACAGACAGGCAAAAATAGATAGATAGACTATCAATACTGCACGGTGATTCAGTTTCACGTTTCAGTGTGAAATTCAGACTATGGTCATATTGAAGCGTGAAACTGATAGTCACCATGCGGTGCTGATTCCTATGTCCACGCTGTCTATATGTATAAGCGTTATGTCTACCCCCTTATAAATATAACACATGTTAATATCTCTCTTTCTCTCTATCTCTCTCCAGTATATATATATATATATATATATATATATATATATATATATATATATATATATACCTGTTGTAACCTAGAAAGGGTTACTGAATGAGGAATAACCAAAACGGAAAGTGGAAATGAAATGGTAATCTTTGTAACAGCAGCGAAATACAATACTCGCCAGCGGCTTGAAGTAGGTAAACCACTGATAGTGGTGGACTACTTAGACATCATATTACCCCCCCACTTACAATAGCGTCCAACGTATTTATAGGATTGGGACATATCCATTAGTGTTTATAGGTACGGTATATAACACTATCTATTTCAAATTATTTCTCTCTCTCTCCTTCTATCTCCTTATATATATATATATATATATATATATATATATATATATATATATATATATATATATATAGATATATAGGAGATTACCGTTTCATTTATACTTTCCGTTTTGGTTATTCCTCATTCAGTAACCCTTTCTAGGCTACAACAGGTAGCATATATATATATATATATATATATATATATATATATATATATGCAGTTGTATTAAATTAAACCGACAAGATGTCTGTTTTAATTTTGATGAAAATTGTTCAGTGTTAATGTTTTTGTTCTGTTTTTGTTTGAGCATTTCCGACTGCCTTGGTCATTATCAGGAACTAAATGCTGTCAGTATGGAAGGCACACATCTGGTTCTACGTGTGAGCGCAGAGAAACTCTATCGATAGAACAAGCGAACAGCGAAGAAGTCTCAAGGAAAATAAGAACAACAACGAAACTTATACTTACCCTCAGAAAATACTGAAAGCCAGTGAAGCTTGTCACCAATTCCTTTTTATTTCTTGACGAAACCGATTTGTTGGTTTTTGTGTAACTGGATCATTCGTTCTGAAAGGAACGAACACCATTGACGAAACGTAACGATTTGACATATTTAATCTTAACTAAATATTTACCCCTTGCTGTGGTGTTTGAATGAGGGCATCGATGACTCATACCCTGAATCCATTAATAAAAATTCATAATGTGGAAGTAATAAATTCTAAATTTTTAAAAATCTGTTGGTGTATGGATTAGTTATAAGATATTTAGTATAGTAAATAAGGGAATCCAACACGGGATTGGTTGCGCTTGGTGTACTTTTGGCAACAACGTAAGATACTATTCTAGACTCTCATGGATGTCAGGTATGTCGTTCAGAATGTCAAAAATATCATCTTTATAGAACCGTTGTGTCAAAACTATGATTAAAAATGGCTTCATGCGAATGAATTTAAAGTTTTAATGGAGACCAACCTTTATTAGATCCTGTAGAGTGGTGTTACAAAATCATAAAGTGCTTTACCAAATAACAACAACAAAAAGAAAAAAGTATCATTTGAAGACTTTCAACGGAAACAACAAAATATGGGTGGCATAAGACATAATAAAATCTAAAAATAATGTTGAATTTTCACATTACTGTAAACAAAAGGCTTGAAGGGAAACTCCCATCGCTATTAGGAAGAACGATAGCAATTGACTTTTGAAGTTTAATTTTATGAAGAAATTGTTTGAAGAAAATGATTTTATGAATGTCATCCTAGAGTAATGCTGTTAGATGATTGAACGGCAACTGTTTTCTTCAATAGAATTGTGTAATTTTATTATTACCATTACAATAGGAATATTTTGTAAATGTTTTTATTATTATAATGCATTGGAAATAATTTTAGTATTCGAGAGCATTACAAATGATATCACTATTGGAGGGCACTACATATGATTTTACTATTGGAGGCCATTGCAAATGGTTTTAATATTGCAGGGCATTGCAAATGATTTTACTATTGGAGAGTATTACAAATCATTTTACTATTGAAATTCATTACAAGTGATTTTACTATATGAATGCATTGTTAATTACAATTTAGTATAAGAATATAATATTATTGACAATTCTCTAAATTCATTGTAAATAATTATACTTACTACAGAAGGAACGATAACAATTAGTAGGAGGCTAATTTCCTGAAAAAAACGTTTGAAGAAAAGATTTTATTCATTCCAACCGGCAGTAATGTTCTTTGTCCAATGAATACCGAATCTATGGAAACGGTTAATTTTTTCATTACCATTACCATTGGTAACTGACTTATTGGTTAACATACAGATTATGCATACCATGTTCAGAGCGACACACAAGTTGGAAAGAATTGACTCCCCCCTCCCAAATCAGTAGATTTAAAAGTTGTCGAAGAAATTTAGCTATCTTACAACATAGTGACACATAGTGAGGAAAGGAGG